ACAATTTTTGTCGGAAGTTAAATATGCCCTATCAACTATGACTGTCTTTCAAAGAGTTTCTCAACCCTGATGGGTGAACATGTAAGTAACTAATTTCTAATCGATAAAAATAAAATGTTTGAGTAAATTTCATCCTTATCATAAAACGACAATTTCAGACTTTTTAACTTGTGTGTTGTGTATTGACTGATGTCGGCATCTGCCTCTTTGTGATTAACTTGAGAAAAAAGTAGACAGAATAGTCAAATATAAGAATTATAAGTTCTATAATATGGGAGTCGGTGGCACAGCGGTTAGGATGCTCGCCGACCATGCACATGGCCCGGGGTTTGATTAACTGCCGACGCACACCTGATATCAATTGGTTGGCCTGCAAAATTCGGCCTACCGATATCCATGCTGAAAGTTCCACACTTGTACTGAAAATACGGTGTGGAAATCAAGCTGTAAATCAAAAAAAAAAAAAAAATATGCGGTGTGAAATCAAGCTATAGTCAAAAATACATCAGAAGAACTACCTTCAAGCCCACAATTCAAAGTCGAAAGTTTATTTCCCATCATTAAGCAGTAATTCTAACACGAAAAGAAATTTGTTCTGTTATCATTATTCCGTTTATTTCCAGGTAGAACATGGAGGCTTCAACAGATTATCTCCATTTTGTCCCCCACTCTGCTGTCCTCACGATTGCTCATAAACTTTCATCTCCTTCGCACACAACCTCCTCGATATCAACCTCGAACCTGAGCCCAACTCTTCGCTTCCCATTCGAGTTCCACTCAAGCGATAGCCTGGCGTGTGTTGTCACTCGACGGTCTCCTCAGCGTATGTCCCACCCATCTCCATTCTTTTCGGAATATTTCTTGAGCAATGGGTTCTTGGTTGGTTTGTTCTCAGAATTTCTTGTTTCTACTTATTTCTGACTATCCATCTGATCTTCAATAAGGAGATTGTGAAAGCAGAAGCTGATAAAAGTTTGCTCTAAGCTCTTGGAAATGCTTTCCTTGACGCGTTGGCTAAGTTTCTGACGCATATAGAAGAACTAACTGAATTAATGTTTGTGTTGAAAATTCGAATTTTGTTCTTTATGCTGAGTGGGCGCAGCAGATTTCCAAACAGATTTCAAAGTGACGAAGGTGTGCCTTTCCTTTCCAATTCCGATTGATTTTGATGTACCCATTCTTTTGTCTGTAGTTGAAAAAATTCTGCCAAGATAAGTGAAGGTAGTAATCACTTTCGACTGTCTTCTCTCAATAGTGATTGTTGCTTATTGTGGCTGTTAAATGGTTATCTTCGGCACCACCGTCTTCTCCATTTTAACTAGAAGTGGATCTCCTGACACGTGCCACTGTCATATAGATGTTGAATGACGTCGATAAAGATTTGGGCATTGCACTCTATGGTAGTGAAGCAGTCTTTAAATTACTTCTTAGTTAGCGATTCTGGTGAGGCCCTTTTCGAAGTCAGTGAAGTTAAGCTGCAGGTTTGACTGCAGTTTCTATGCTTTGTTCTGTAATGACGATGGGTAAAGTTTCAATTTGATCAGCACATGATTTGCCTTTCCTGAATTCAGCTTGTTTCAGGCTAGCGGAGTTCTGTATCCATTGCAACCTTTATTCTCTCCAGGATGATGCAACATCGTATTTTACTTGGCGTGGACAAGAACATTATTCCACGCCAGATTTTGCAGAGGCGTAAGTCGACCCTCTTTGCAGCATGACAAGGGAGCCAGCCTTTCTTTCAACCAGTAGGTACATTTTCTTCTTTCCAAACTTTTGCAACAATAGCGTGAGCATATCTATCACAGTTCCTGGGTCCATTTTCAGTGCTTCAGGGGAAATTCTGTTCGGCCCTGCAGCCTTCTTGGCCAGTGTTCAGTAGCTTGATCGCAATCAAGATTTATACCTTTGTTGGAGGACTAGTTTCCGCTGGCAGGCAATTCTGTGCATGTATTGATGGTGGTGATATTATTTCTGGGGGAGTTGCAGGTGATGGTCGATTCAAGAGTCCTTTGAAGTGACCAGTCCATTGTTTTATTTGTTTCTCCTCCTTGGTAATCAGGTTCCCTTGAACATCTTTTATAGGTTTCACGTGCATAGAGACTTGGTCATCTGATATAATGCTGTGAGGTCTCTTTTACCTGCAGCCAACCTGACTGTTCTGCTTCAAATGCCAGCCAGTGTGTCGTAGAATTATCTTTTATCTCTCCTAGCACTCTTCTTTACTTCTTTATACTGTAAGATGTACATTGCAATCATCTTCTCCACAACACATTAGGTTCGGTCGTTACACGCCAGAGATGCCGTCGAGTGACATCATGTACCAGGCTCTTGAGTACAAACCGAATGCGAAACGACGAGTTGTGAATGTATACAAGAATGAAAAGGAGGGGATTATACAGGAAAAATATAAAATTATGCGCAGTCTTAAAGCCAGCTAAAAAAAGTCTTAACACAACCCAGTAAAACAAAGGTGTGTCTCTGCAGATCTATTTCAAAATCGAAACCCAAAGAAGCAGCAATAACGATAAAAATAATCATATGATGGTGTGTATTAACACTCACGGTGAATTCACGTTACTTCAGGTTCAAAGAAAACATTCCTTTTAAATATACTTACCTGTGTTTGGGTGTACGAATCACCTATTAGATAGTCTAGGATGAATAGGTTGAATTCTGCCGAAGAAAACTACAGATGTAACTTCCTTATCTATCAAATGACTAACAAACTTTAATGAAGTAAGCATTCTCTACTATTCAAAATTAATATCTAGTCAGTTACAGCCTAGTTTTTTGAATATTAATCACCACAGATTTATCTATTTATAAGATATAGTTAGCATTAATAAACCGATAGCAATTGTTTCAAAGATCTTCAAATATTAGTTTTTGTAGAGATTTAGTTTGAGTGGTTGGAGGATTTCATCATGAGATGACATCATTTACTGGACAGGTGTTTCGTCTTAGTTTGGGGCTCTTCAACGGTGCGCAGTCACCGAGGTTCGAACCCAGGACCTTCTGGTTACAAGGCGAAATCATTGTTCACTACATTTTTCAATCTTGTGAATTATCATTTCAGTCTAGGACTAATATCAAAAGGGTTACTTCATACCTTCTATTTTCTAGTCATTTTAGTTGATCTCCAGCTAAATCACAATAATATTCTTGATCTACTAAGTATAAATGGAGATCCGAAGAAGTATTTGAAGAAACACATGGACTCATCAAGTAAACAGCCAAAAGTCCTCGCAGTTCCAAATATAAATCGGTGTTCCTAAGGTCGCAATTCACGGAAGATGATAATAAGGAGACTTTATCACAACGTCTGAGAAAGGCTTTCCGAATGACTTTTAAAGCAGCTAAGTTATGCTGTATGTTCACTAGCCAACCAATAAATAGTTCAAGAAATAAAGACAGACTGTTCTATTTCGCCTCTTCCATGCGTATTTACCAGTTTAACTGCTCATGCAGAGCCAGTTACATCTGGCGTGCCATCAAGCAAGTCTGTTACCAAATTTCTGAAGATCTGCTATCTCGGTTTGGAAAAGGGTCCTAGTAAAGCTATACGCAGCTCAATGCTAGCTCATCTCGTCGATACTGGACATCAAGTCGACTGTAACAAAGTTTTACTAGTGTTTTATCATGTACCACTTAACCTCTCGCACGGTCTACGAGTACAACTTTTGACATACATCAGAGGCAATCAGAATTCATCTGAACAAACCAAATCTGTGTATTTCAAAGAAATTTGTACAGCCTCTTTCCTTGCCATGGCCAACTATATAATATTCAAGTATTGGTTTGGTAGGGATTTTGTTTAATTGCATGGAGGATTTCATCATGAGCTGACATCACTTAGAGAACCACTGGAGAACCTGGGAGTACTGGACAGTTGTTTCTTCCTCGTTTGGGACTCTTCAGCAGTACGCACCCACCGGGATTCGAACCCAGGACCTTCTAGTTACAAGGCGAGCTCGTAGACCATTGAGCCACTGGGACCCGATCCAATGGTCCTTGAATTCTAACTTCTGCCAATTCACGACATAGCGCGACCATTTCGCCGTGACCAGTAGGGTACAGCAGATTGAAGATGAGGCAGTAACTCATCGAAGAAGACATTGCGAAATGGTCGCACTATGTCGTGAATTGGCAGAAGTTAGAATTCATGGGCCATTGGGTCGGGTCCCAGTGGCTCAATGGTCTACGAGCTCGCCTTGTAACCAGAAGGTCCTGTGTTCTAATCCCGGTGGGTGCGTATTGCTGAAGAGTCCTAAACTAGGACGAAACAGCTGTCCAGTACTCCCAGGTTTTTTCAGTGGTTCTCTAACTGATGTCAGCTCATGATGAAATCCTCCGTCCATTTATATAATACTTATTAGGTTTTCAGAATTGATTTTTTCGTGTCTCCTTGTAACTATCTTTTGACTTTGTTAGTTTTCACAATTATACCTAATTCGATTAACTTGTTTGTATCTTACGTAATTCTTCTGAGTCATCCTATTCTTCTTAGTCATCACTGCTATTTTAAAAATTTCTTGGTTGTGTAATAACTTGCTGCTAACTCCTAAGACCTAACTTTTCTTGAAGGCCGTTTATAAGTTTCACCCCTGCCTCCTTCTAAAATTAGATACCATGTTGTTAACATCTACTTGTTAATTGTTTAGGTGACCTTTAACCTCTTATTTTTATCACCCGACACACCTAAAACGTATGCTTCTTATGGATTAAAATAATCACATGGTCGGTATAATTTGATTTAAAGAACCAAATATTATTGTAGGGCCAGCGGGTGATGAGGAACTAATTGAGAAGCAACGCATACTTCTTCTCTCAATCTGTTGCTTTTTCGAAATGCAAAAATGAGAATTTTCAAATCCCCAATTGCCAGTATGCTCACAGTAGATCATGGGAATCTTGATCCACTTTTACTGTGATCTTCACAACAGACCAGACGATCACAAGTGTGCAAGGACGACAACAACAAAAAACTGATCAATACTTACCTCTTTTGTGTTATGCTCATCTTCAAAATCATAAAAGGTAAATGACCAATGCTTTTGATATTGACATTTCGAAATGCTATCATATGTATTCATAAAACATGAGTTGGAAGATGAGATTGACGCTAATGACTGACAATTTGATGAAGAATTTGATCTTCTCTGTCTTGTTGGCTTACATGATCTGTGTAGTCTGGATCGACGATAATTTTTGTCAGCATCTGGATCAACCAGTGTTTGCCCACTGTTTGAACGACTTGTATTAAAGTGAACATTTGGTGAATACAGTTTATAGGGGGAATAGTTATTGAATAAGGCATGATTGTTATTCAATGAATCATGAATTGTCATTGTTTCATTGATGTTCGCAGTGGTGTCATGTTGACTTCCAGAGTTCAGAATCATTGAATTCCTGGCGTCAGATGCACCAGTCATTGGAGTTGTATACATAAGTTTCTCTGACTATAAATTATATAATGAAACAATAGGTCATCACGACACATTATTAATATCTTTAAAATACTATAACTAAATAAAAAACAAATAATTTATTTTTGATTGAACACTAGTCAGTAACTAGTGTAATGTGTCTAGTCCTATCTTCGGTGCAGACTGAATTCTATCAGTCATGTTTGTAATGTGGCCACCATGCTAGGTGGCTCGCCATTACGGTGCACTGTGAATTGTTGGTATTAGATGGTATTAGATTGGTATTAGATTGCCTCCAACCATCTAATACCAACAAATAATTTAAACTGAAAAAGCAAAGAGTACTTAGTAGTCGTTAATACTACGTCCTTAACTCGTAATTATGCAAAATGACGGGTTTTCCAGTAATTATAATCCTATTTTGTCTTTTATACCCTCTAGTTTCGCATATGCCAGTTTACGCCGTCTCTGGCGTAGACGTGATATCCGACTCTCGACCAAAAGGCGTGTGTACTGCTCAGCAGTCCAATCCGTCCTCCTTTAAGGTTGTGAGACCTGGCCATTGAGAGTGGAGGATATGAAAAGGCTAGCTACCTTGGTGCCAGCGTTCTATTTCCCATGTTAAGTGATATAATAGGGTAAACAATATTGAGGTTAGGCATTGGTCGAGTGCTAGGTAAGGAGGGAAAATCAATAAACGAGGCTGTGAAGTTACATCGACTGAGATGGTTAGGATATGTGTTATGTATGCCTAGCCATCGCCCTCCTCGACAACAGGCAATGTTAGCTGGCATATTATGAGTCAGGTTGGAAAACAGCCAGTGGTGGGCAGACTAAAAATTGGCCTCAATAGTCAGTGAAATCCACGACAGTTAGTTTAAGCCAGCGACGTAGCAAGATGCGGACTTCCTGGTTAGGGTCCTCAGGACGGTAAACATCAACGGCTGGAGACAATCGGTGATAAGGCTCAAAATCGTTCTCCATGGCGGAGATGAATCCACTCCTTCCGACCTATAATTTCCAATAAAACTATATTGTTCTTCCACATTACTATTCCTTTTTCCTCAAACCTGTCTTTACTGTCTCTATTTGGCATTTCTTCTACATTCTTCTCTTGCTTTGTGTGCTACATGTAGTGTAGCGACTTGAACTGCTGCACATCGGTGCAAAGTTCGATGCTGAGAACAGTCACAGTTATAGTTTATAGCCGATCTTCCTGATTATTACACATCTGAATTTTTAATTTGACCTCTGACCTGAAATAATTCTTCAGCTTTCTCACTCATTTACTATAAATACAGGAATCTACAGTTGTCTAGTTGATGACTTCTTCGAAAAGAAAATTTTCTTAGCTGCAACCGTCTCTTTAATATATATATATATATAAACTATGCTCTACATGACGATAAAGACTTCTATGCTACCGTGTAAATCTCTTTTAGATAACAAATAATGTGGTCTTGTTTACAGGACTGTCAATTTCCTGACTATAATTCCCAAGATCCCTGAAAATATTATGCAAATGAAAGTCTTAAGTAACAGGACTCAAAACTGTTTAGAGCAGATTAGTTTTATTCATAGTCGACCTTCTGAAAATTTGAACACTTACCCTCTAATATCCTCATGATTATTGTTGCTTCTAACATCTACGTCATGTCTTTGATTGTAACATTTTCTCCTCCTCTACACTGAATGACGTAAAAATAATATCGCTACATTGACAATATACGTAATCTTGTTATCTCTATTTGTAAGGCTTATCAAAAATCTTGTGACACATATTCAAGGGGGAACTGAAGTAAAAAAGGCTGATTTATCTCTTTTCACTAAACTGTACGTTGAGATAAATTTTTGATTTATTCAAAGGTGATAATGATCAAAGCAGAAAAACCGAAAATTTCGCGGCTAGTTTTTCAGTGTTCCGCTATCGTTTTTGCCTTTTTTTTCCTGATCATTTCAGTCATAATTATTTGACAATAAATTGACCGAATTTCAGCTTATATTATATCCTTGACGTTATATAAATGTGCCTATTGAACTAGGGTTTCAATGTAGAGTTTTGCATAAAACATCAGAGTTAAAAATTTGTCCACAATAGACGAGAAACAGGAACAATTAGTTGAAAAGCGGCGAATTACTGGCTTACGCAGATTTGTTTCTGTGGTCGATTGTTATTATTATTATTGTTTCCTTTAATTCCTAGAGGAACATAGGGCTTCAGCCGTGCGTCTCAATTGCATTCGGTTCTCTGCTAGAGTCTTCACCTGGCTCCAAGTCTGCTCACGCGTGTTCATCTCCTCTTCACATGACCTCCTCCATGTCACCCTTGCACTGACGACCAGCTAGCCGCTTCCCTTTCGCGTTCCACTCCAGCAATGGCTTGTCTAGTGATGTCACTTGATGGTTTCCTCACAGTATGGCCAGCCAATCCATCTCCATTTCTTCCTGCCTATTTGTTGCAAAATCGGTTCCTTGTTGGTTCGCTCTCAGAGATCTCTGTTGATGATCTTTTCTGGCCATCTAATCTTGAGTATTGAGCGAAGACAACTGTTAATGAAGGTCTGTAGTTTGTTTGATTGGAGTGAAATGTTTGGCCACTGTTGAGCGATGTCTGAAGCTTGACATGGATTAATTTGGTGGAAAGTGATTAGCAAAGAGATCCAGGATGCTCATCCCCTACTATTTAGAACTCGTTAACTGGATGTACCTGCAGTTCCCAGTGTGTGTTGGTTGTTTCCCCACCGAGATTCGATTCCACTGTCCATCGTTTTAAACGCGAAAGCGTTATCCACCAGACCACTAGGACACGAGAGTATTGCAATTCCTAAATAGGATGAAATGTGTATCCTACATTCCACTACTAGTTTATATCCACCAGAAAACAAGTAGAGGTCTTCACAACTATGAATATAATAGAGAGCGTATATATATATCTGCGAACCACAGTCCCTAGCCGTTGATTCTTTGCATTATGAGGACCACTCCCATGTGGTCTACGCTTCCCTATTTGGCTCATAGCAAAGTCATAGACTTCATAGACTGCTGCTATGTGCTATTTTCAAACATAATCCTACTTTGCGCGTCGGTGGCGTAGCTGTTAGCACGCTCGCCGACCATGTACATGGTCCGGGGTTCGATCTCTGGCCGACGCCGTACTCCTTTAACTCGCTAAGCCAGTAATAAAACTGGCAAGAGAGAAGGTTAGGCATGAGGCTAGCAACCCAATCCTGCAAAAAAACACTGCTACAGAAACTTCAAGCCTTCTTGCTTGAAGCCCTATGTTCCACTAGAGAACGTGAAGGAAAAAAAATCCTATTTTAGTCAGAAAGTCGAAACATTTAACAATAGAGGAGTGTTAGTTACTACACTAATAAACTGTTAATAGCAATAAATACGATCCAGTTTCGCCGCTTATTTTATTTAGACTTTATTTTCTATTTAAATCTAAAATACATGCATCAGATGGTATGGAATGAATAAAATCTCTTGACTCATTTCATAGTTGTTTTTTTAACCACAAGGCTTTGTGTCATTATCACTCTAGCCAACATAATTAGCATCAACCTCTGGAGGAAATGAGTTACTGAAAATTTTACATAAGTTAAAGAATTTTATTTTCTGATAATATTGATTGTGCTCAATATTTCTGTAATTTAGGTGTAGAACCTGGACAGTGTGATAGAATGTAATTCCCTACTAGACAGAATATTATTTTAAATCGCATAGAGTGATGCAGTATTAATAAATGGATGACGTTTCAAGCATAAATTGTCACTGCTCATAATCGAATCAGTTTTGGTCATACGATTTCACAGTTTGTTATATATATATATATGTTTATTACAGATAAAGGACTTGGCGCGTCACGAAGGGTACTTCGAACAAACTACAGACCTTCGTCAACAGATGCCTTCGCTCAGTGCTCAAGATCAGATGGCAGACCAGGAAAGATCAGCCATAGCGATCTCTGGCAATGAGCGAACCAATCAGGAACCGATCGGTCAACAAATAGGCAGGAAGAAATGGAGATGGATTGACCATACTCTTAGGAAATCATCAAGTGACATCACTAGACAAGCCATTGCTCGAGTGGAACGCGAAAGGGAAGCGGCTAGTTGGTCGTCAGTGCGAGGGTGACATGGAGGAGGTCATGTGAAGAGGAGATGAAAGCACATAGGCAGACGTGGAGCCAGGTGAATACGTTGGCAAAGAACCGAAGGCACTGGAGACGTGCGGCTGAAGCCCTATGTTCATCTAGGAATTAAAAGAAACAATAATAATGTATACGTATATATATATATTCTTCCTATTCTGTCTCTCCAACTTTCCTTTGTTGTTTGTTGCCACTTTCCATATTACCGGTATAGGCGTTGCGTCATTCCTATTGCACGTATAAAGTGTTTCGTCGATAAATCAAGATTGAGATTTGAAGGGAAATGAGTTCCTTCAAGGTTTCAGATACGCCTTGCTGATTTGAGAGTGCCAACTATCACGAAACCTAGGTCAGGTTGGGCTTCCTGTGGCCGATTGCCTCCAACCATCTAATATCACCAAATCAATGCGAACCGTGATGGTGAGCTACTTAGAATACGACATTGCAAACTTGACTGAGTGATAGAATTCAGTCTGCACCAAAGAAAGGACTAGACACGTCGCACTAGTTAGTTACTAGTGTCCAATCAAAATAGACCTACTTTTACTGGTTCTGGATGTGATGAATTTTATTTTATTTACACATTCATCTGTTTGCCTATTAATCCTCATTTTTTCCTCATATCTGACCTCTTCATCTGTTAATGAATTCTAATTTATGCCAAAGTGTTATTTCGATTCCATATGTTGTCCACTTTAAAAATATCCCATCTGTGCAGCCTTTGTACTTTTTTGGAACAACTGCATATCCGTATGCATTTGTGTTCACTGAAATGAAAGGTGATTTGTTTATTGTCTTTTCACTACAGGTGTATACATACATACTAGTGAATGCTAATATAAATAAGGGATAGATTCAGAATAATTTGGTATATTTCCCA